GGCCTTTCCTCTTGGTGGAGGTGTCAATGACTGTCTGCTGGACAACTGTCGAGTCAGCAGTCTTGCTCACGATTGTGTAGACAATAACATGACCACAGCAAAACATTTCTGTCCTTTTTCTTTTTGGTTGTTAAAAAGACACTATTCTCATGAATTGAATGTTAGATTTCATTAGGTGTAATTCGTAGTGATCAAATGTCTGAAATATGATCATACTTTTGAATTGGATAACAGATTGCTTCAATATCCTTCACATGTATAAAATGTTAAGCCTTTTTTTTTAAAGTTTAGTACCCTCAGACACCACCAATGCAAAAAGTGAAACATTTAGCAAGCTTTTGTGTTAAATGTAGAAAACCAGTCAGAAGCAGATTTATACAAACCTATTCTGCACACTGACTAAACCACGTTGCAACAAAAGATGACAGATTCAGTTACTAAATGCTCAGTAACTTAAGATTGCAAATAGAAACCTGTTGTGAGGGGAAAAAGTCCCCCCTCCCTTCACCTTCAGAGTGCTTTCTGTCATCTCCCCTTTCAACCCAGGTGGCATGTTTGTGTTGGCCGTTGTCTAAGGACAGACAGGGTCACGGCGGTATAACCTTGGACAAACAAATATTCATGATCAATAAGGGCTTTATTCTGAGCATTTAAATGATTCTTATCTCCGCCGCTCTCTCTTTGTCCAGGCAAGGCGGGTCTTTTTTTGAAAGATTTATGCAGGCAGGGTAAAGGGACAATTTAAAAGACTACTTAGTATCACTGCTTTCAAATGTCATGTAATCATAGGTTAGGGGGAGAGTGCTGGGCATCGAGGTCTAAGTGATGGTACAGATAATGAATTGCCTCTGAAATATAATACATCCTAAGTAGGATTCTTTGTTCCAAGCTCTGTACACCAACTCGGCACAATTAAAGTTATTTATCTCCCTCGTTTTTTAAGTTCATCAATTATATTTTGATACACTTAATGTTCATAAGAGGATGATGTATGATTGGTCTAATTATTTCTTATTCACCATGCTTTCTAAAGCATATCAATTTTGTTAATACCATGTAATTAAAACACGTCAGGGCGCTACAAGTTGCCGGCTGTATTAATGACTATGAAAATTATTTTAATTAAATAGCCAATTATAGAAAAATCCTAACCATGAGAATTGACATTTAAATGAATTCAATTTAAATTGCTTTTCAACATTGTTTTATCAAAGCTTTATGGGGTGAATAAATTATTACATCAAACAATATACTGTGTCATTGATCATACACAAGTCCTGTCCCATATCCATACATTATCAAACAGTTTTCCAGTGCTCATTTATCACCCAGGGTGATTACATTCTGACATGGTCATTTGTTTACTGCAATCTCTTCCACATGTACTGTACTTCTGGAAAGAAAAAAAAAATATCCGAACTGCTTCTTTAACTTTATAGTTAAAGCTGTCGCACTAGACTGGTTCAATTTGTGATATAGGTTCCTGTGTATTATTTTGTCATGCAGGAATGGTTTGGCCCAATTAAACCAACAAAGGACGGTGGTGAAATATTCAGAAGCAGTGTGGAAACTGAGCCGTGTTTTGGTATGTTTACCTAAGTTGACATTCAGCGAGTTGCAAAATTATTTATAGGCACAGAAGCTGTTGACGTTCTTTGACATTATGAACACAAACTTTATTGTTTAATTGGCACCTTTAACAAACCAACAAAAAGTAGTCCATGACTGTGAAGTGGAAGGAGTTTGCTTTTTGTCCCAGATTGCAAAGAACTCTGCTCTAACTTCCTATCCACAGCTAAAGAAAAGCGTGCCCACTGATTATACTCCCTTTGCTCATATCAGCTCCACTAACATGATGCTGCCACTACCATGTTTTACCAGTAGGGGTAGTGTGTTACAGTTGATGTTTGTCCTGCAAGCCAGTCAGTTTTCTTTGCCAAAATACTTTGTATAAGACATCAAATATATTCAAAGTCAATATTTTTTTCATCCATTCTTACAGCCTTCCACAGCATGATGCATCCAGCGCCGTGTTTCGCCACACGGATGCACTACCTCCTACACCTCAGCCAATTTGCTTGAATCCCTTTGAAGTATCACATATTTATCACGTCTTGCTTTTTCATACCCATTATGCTGCTAAAGCTCTGTGTAATGTTTGCGGCTGTCATTTTTCAGGCATTACAAGTGCAAAGATTTGCCGCTGACCCATGCAAACAAGAGAAATACTGGGCAAACCTTTTGTGACATTCATTGTATATAATGAAATCTTAATATGTTGCATATTTAAGTGAAAGGTTAGCATCATAAAGGGCAAACGGATTGCCTGGCAATGAATTTTAAGCAGCTATTGATTTTACACTACAAGCTCCCTTCTTCTCTGAATGATAATTTTTTTTTTAAAATTGCACTCTGCTTATCTTAAGGCTTCGGTGGGAAGTAGTAGATTTTAAGACAAAGAAGAGACTGAAAACCCAAAATATTATACAGACCAAATGATTCCCCCCAATCATAAAACACCTGTAAGCCGAAGATGATTTGAAAACTGGGATATTATAGAATTATGTATTTACTATATGTAGGTGGGAAGAAAACACTGCTAGAGTTCGAGACTTTAACCTTTCTTATACCTCTTGATCCGTTTGGAAATATAAGTGCTGAGAACTTTTATAAACAACAAGCTCTAAATACTTATTCTGTAACTGAAGATTGTTTGTCGAACTAATATTGAGAGTTGCTATAAGATGTGTAACTGTAAAAACATCTAAATATATTCCATTATTAGCCACTAAAGCTTTGCTTTTCATCCCCTCTTCAACTTTGTCTGGAGAATCTAAAAGAGTGAGATGTTACTGTTGTGGCTGGATAAAATTTGATTCAAAATTCCGCTACATTTGGTAGATTAAGATACTAAACCATGCTGTACTTTTTCTTGAGACTGGGTTTTATATTGCTCGTTGCCCAGGGGCCCTGCAAAGCAACGTGGTTATTTGGGGGAGCTTTAACTTCCCCATAGCACTGACTCTGTGTTCTCTGTCCATCAAATATTAAGTTATTTAGCTTCTTGCCCTTATTTATACATTTGCCTGTTATTCCTGCTCAATATTACAGCCCTAATGTGGGTTTAAATAAGTAAAACTGGGAATTTTATAGCTTTCTATTGTGAATGGAGCTTTAATGAAACGGTCAGATTGGAGTGAAAATTTAAAGTCCAGATTTAATCTGTGGTCTCAGGTTTGCATAAGTTTACAATTAGCTACTGAACAGTATGTCTCTGTCATGCACAAAACATTTAATTTATGTAAAGCATATATTTGTAGTATAAACTTCAGTCAACTGCCAGATAATTGGGCATTTTCTCTGATTAATGCAAGACAAAATCAAACTAACATCTTTCAGGAAAGGCGTCCTATAACTGAGATGAATGTGTCCACACCCTAAAACTAGTGCATTGTGGAGGACCTTTTAATATAATTTAATATCTTTAGAAAAGTATTATTTTAAAAGTCTACCAGATTGTGAGGACATGACATGTACACACCCCTTTTTGAGGTGACTCCACAGCTTTTGTGTCAGATTATTTTATAGGTTTTTATCTTCTAATTTGGATGCATTTTTGGCTTTACCACAATGCTTGAAAATAAAAATCAATGTTAATCTTTTTAAAATATGTTTTTGGTATTGTTTTTTGAATTTCTTGATTTTTTTTGTTTTTTGAATTTCTTGATGTTTTCCTCAAAAAACAAAAAGAAAGTAGAAACATCACCCTGACATAACGAGGATGCCATTACCGTGTTTCATTGTGGGTATGGTGCATTTAGTGATGTGCTGAAAAAAAAAAAAATAAATAATAATAATAATGTTTGGAATTATGGCCAAAAGATTTAATAGTTGTGCCAGATCATAACACACCTGGGTGCCATCTTTAGAGGAAAATGTTTATCTCTCACTTTACTCCAGACATATAGGGAATAGAGCGGATTGTTATTACAGGACGAATAATACCGGTACTTTCTATAAATCCCTGCAGCTTCCTCACAGCCTGTCTGACAAGTTTCCATCTTTATGAATTTATCCATTATACTTTCCAAAGAAACCTCTAGATCCATTGTAAGTTTTTTTTTATATGAAATGTAGTGGAGTTTCTTTATACCCTTCTCTTAAATGACCACTTTTTACAATATAAATGTTTCAATCCTTTGACACCTCTCTGCTAACCATGCATTTGATTACAGTCTGCAATCAAATGTCAGAATAATCCTATTGTTGGACAGTCAAACTTTACTTCAGGTAAAACATATTAATTAAAATCAATGACAGGTTTAAACTTAAGCAGACAGACCGCAAAGCTTTAATGCAAATATACTTTTACACAGTGTTACAATGCAGTGCATTAGATATTTATATTTGGCATCACCCCGTTTACACATCCCATGGTCTTTTCAGTTGGACTATGCAGGATATGGGTCACATTATTTTACAGCAAAATAAATATAATATTAACAGGTGTAAACACTTTTGAGGACCAGTGCTTAAATCATCTGTTTCCTGTTCTTTTTTTTTGTAGCTGTTTCTCCAAAGAAAAAGCACAATGTGTTTGTCAAAACAATAGCAAGCAAAGGCCAATTAAATAAGGAATGTTATCAGTGACTCATACAGGACATGAAACAGAAAACAGGACAGCCTTGTTTAAAAAATAGAAAATCAAAAGGCAATACATTTATTCAGTATTAATTTAGATCTGGAAAAGATTTTCAGAATTCTGGATAACTTATTGCAGAAGCACAAAAAAAGGGGTAACATCTCTATTTGATCTAAAAATGACATAGTTCTGTGTGTGGAGCTAATGAGTTATTAAAGCAGAGCTGAAACATTTCGGAAAAGCAGAGAACAGTTAGTTTTGTGTTCTTCAAAGGCTCCCACTGTCCCCTAGCTCCTCCCTCTCTGCACCGTGTGACAACAACAACTCATCCACAGAGCGGTGCTGCACTTTTCAGCTCATTTTCCTCCTGTCATTCCTCCTCCTATCTTTGATCATTGTCCCCCTTCAGAAAAAAAAGAGAAAAACTCACTCAACACGCCTTTTTTTTTCTACTCTGGCTCTTTTTTTTTTTTTTTTTTTCTACTTTCTAACTTAACTGAGGAGCTAAACTCTGAAGGATTCTTTCATTTAGGGGTGTCTCTGCAGGCTGGCTTTTTTTACTTTGAACTTCGGGCTGCTCTCCTAGGTGACCATGGCCGTACCGGCTGCTCTCATCCCACCAACTCCGCTCGTCCCGCCGCCTCCGATGTCTACTCCCTCCGCCACCACCTCTCCGCCGTCCACAACTTCGTCCCCGTCTCCATCCCTGGCCCCGCCATCGGGAGCCGCTCAGAACCTGTTCAGATCGGAGCTCCTCGCCACCAGCAGTCCGGGCATCCCAACCCCGAGCGCGGCTCTGCCCCCGAGCAAACCCGTCTACTCGACCCCGTCGCCCGTCGAGAACATCCCGCAGAACAACGAGTGCAAGATGGTCGAGCTGCGCGGCGCAAAGGTGGCTTCATTCACCGTGGACGGCTGTGAGCTCATCTGCCTCCCGCAGGCGTTCGACCTGTTCCTGAAGCACCTGGTCGGCGGGCTGCACACGGTCTACACCAAGCTGAAGCGGCTGGAGATCACGCCGGTCGTGTGCAACGTGGAGCAGGTCCGCATCCTCAGGGGGCTCGGCGCCATTCAGCCCGGGGTGAACCGCTGCAAACTCATCTCCAGAAAGGACTTCGAGACGCTCTACAACGACTGCACTAATGCGAGGTGAGTGCGGGGCTCCGCGGCGCGCGTCCTCCCGTGCGTAAAGGCGCAGCGCCCTGCAGGAGATGCGGAGACCGTCTTTATTTCCACATGCAAAAAAACAAACAAACAAAAAAACACACACATCTGCATCAAGCAACTTCTCCTGCCATTCCTGTTTATATTTATAAATTGGTATGATGACTGACTGAGAGGAAAGTTAACGGAGATCGCAAGCTGTGTTGTGCGCCTCAGCAGTTAAAAAGTTAAGGGAAAGTTTTTAACACGTGCAAATCAAAAGCTGTGACATGATGGATCAAGCCTGTCCGCTGCTTGGCCAATAAATCGATAATATGGGCGTTGAATAAACAGCACATTCAAACCTTCCACTTAAATGAATACAGTAAATAATCTTTTTAAATGTCAATTTCCCCCTTTAGACCCATGCAGCTCTATTTTCCAAGATGACTGTGATATGACCAGGTTAGGTATCCTTCTAAGTCTTTGCCATTAGGCAATTAGAATTCAATTAGGGCAATTAAAATTTGTAGAAAGCAAACAAATGGATAAAAAACAGCACAATAATTGTGTTATATAGTTTTTTGTTTTGCAACAAATAATGGACTCCACACTCACATTAAAAGGAGTGTATTAAAATTATTTGTGAATGCATATAATTAATTCTATCAAATTAACATTAGAGATTCTCTTTCACTTAAATGCACTTTATTGCAATGAAATGCAAAAGTAGGAAGAATTCAACAAATGTGTACATTACATCATACAAATGAAGCAATTTAACCTTGATCTGTTTTTGAAAACGGAGTGATTTAAGCACAGATCAATATTGGATTAAAAGCCATTTTTTATTGTCCTGTTGCTCCATGTCTGTGATCCATCGCTCAAGTCTCTCAGGACGGTGGAGCCTGGTCAAATTTACCCTCTTACCTGTCAGTGTGATTGATTCTGTATTGATTTCTCCCTCTTGCATTGAGAGATGAGCTGGAAATGCAAATATGATGGAAAGCCTCCACAGAAGTGAAGGGACATGGGAAAATAAAAGCAGTTAAAGTCACTTTGATTTAAATAAGTTTAAATTAGAAAGGTAACAACCACATTCTTATAAATCTGTTTTTTAATGCTTTTTTATTAAATGCATCAAAACTTATTTTTTCTTCTAAATGCATCAATTAACATACAGGATGTAAGGTGGTATACATTAGATACATTTTAGGTAAAAGTCTCAGTTTCAGATTAAAGTTATTGTATTTTAATTATGTCTTTTATTTAAAAATGGCTTAAATTCATCGACGAACATATGGGTGTTAATCAGAATCAGTCAGGAAAAGCCTGAAATATACATGTCTAGTTTAAAAGCATGCACCCTGTTGTGTTTTTCGCTGCATTAACAGTGTGTGTTAACGTGGAGGGGGAAAAAATGCAAATGCAGCAAAGCAAGGTAGAATCAAGAAGAAGATATGCCAACAACTCCAGATGTTCTTGTAGAAAATTTTACTGTGATCTTATGGAATTATTTTAAAAGTTGCACCTGTGTCGTTGATGCATTGAAATATTTACAAGAAGCTGCACCTGACTTGAAAGAGTCTGCCTCACACACCTCTGTGGAGCTCCCAGCCGCAGCTTCATGTTCCCGTTTTAGCAGCAATTGTCTCAACAGCTCACCTGTGCGCTCTGGTGCTTAAGCATCATTTACATAAAGCATCAAGGGACCCTAACCCCCCCCCTCGCCCCCTTTATCTACTGTAAAGATCCTTCGCCGGAGCTCGGCGTGGAGCTTTAGGTGACAAAGTATGTGTCTGAACTCTCCAGGTTGTCAATGGTGGAGCCTGGGGGAGGGGGGGTTTGACCAGCGATGGGGTTAAAGGATAATGCAGTGCCTCACGTCTCTTTAATGACGCTAAAGTGCTGGGCTATTACGGGCACATGGACAGGACTGTAATTGTCTCTGAAAGCAGCCAGGTTCTCCCGGCGCTGGGCTGAAATCAATCACTCAGACCTGGGCCTGCCTGCCTGCCTGCTTGCCTGCCTGCCCCATTTGGAGAATTACATCATGGAACCGCCGAGGCTTTCGCAGGGATAAAAGGCTTCTTCTGTTGCTTGGAATGAGTTGATTTTATTTGCAAGGATGTGCCACCTCTCGCTCCGTCTCGCCCGCTGATTCGGCTGCAGACAAAATGATCACTTTGAGAAAACAGCAAACAAGTTGCCCCCAGGAGGTGACAACAAGTGCGCCCTTTTTCCCCCCACTAACTTGCAGTTATATATATATATATATAAAAAAAAAAAATACTAAAGGGAAAAAGTATCTGAGTTCACTGGTTTACCCTGCTCGGGTTAATTTCAATTCAATTCAATTCAGTTTATTTATATAGCGCCAAATTCACAACACATGTCATCTCAAGGCACTTTACAGTTCAACCAGATCATACAGTCAAATTGATACAAAGTTTTCTATCTAAGGAAAACCAGTTGATTGCATTGACTCATTGACTCAAATACAATCCCCCACACTAAGCATGCTTGTAGCGACAGTGGAGAGGAAAAACTCCCTTTTAACAGGAAGAAACCTCCAGCAGAACCAGGCTCAGTGTGAGCGGCCATCTGCCGAGGCCGACTGGGGTTCAAGGAGACAGAAGCAGAGATACAAAAAGCAGCTGTAAAAGGCGGCCCCGTCCAGGAAACACACAGCCAGGCAGACGAGCTCCAAGGCAGCTCCCATGCCAGAGGACGAAGAGAGCACATCCACTCAGTCACGGTCAGAGAAACAGGACCACACTGGAAAACAGGCCGATCTCCAACATCTATTAACAAGGGTGTTGATAGAAGCAGCACAGCTGATGTTTTTTTCCAGGATGACGTCACAGCCAAACAGGAACAGACGAGGCAAAGCTACTCTGAGGAAAAGCAGAGAGAGCAGAAGGTTAGAGATTGAACTAACAGATTCTGCAGAATAGGAGAACAGAGAGAGAATGAAGCAGAATGATGAAATGGGGGTCCCTATGTCCTCCAAAAGTCTAAGCCTATAGCAGCATAACTATAGAGATAGCTCAGGATAATCTGAGCCACCCTAACTATAAGCTTTATCAAAAATGAAAGTTTTAAGCCTAGCCTTAAAAGTAGACAGGGTGTCTGCCTCACGGACTAAAACTGGTAGTTGGTTCCACAGGAGAGGAGCCTGATAACTAAAAGATCTGCCTCCCATTCTACTTTTAGAAATTCTAGGAACCACTAGTAAACCTGCAGATTGAGAGCGAAGTGCTCTGTTAGGAACATAAGGAACAATCAGATCTCTGATATAAGATGGAGCTGGGCCATTTAAGGCTTTATAAGTGAGAAGGAGGATTTTAAATTCTATTCTTGATTTAACAGGAAGCCAATGAAGAGAAGCCAGGATAGGAGAGATATGATCTCTCTTTTTACAACGACTAGTTCAGCTTTTCACCCCCCCCCCCCCCCCTCAATAACACAGTGTCACTGCTCTTTTTTATACAGTGGCACAGTGATAACAATGAAGTGAATAATACTCCTATACAATGGCTCTTACTATTTCACATGCAGTTCTCCCCCCCTCCCTCCTTCTGGTCGCTCTATTGTGCTAAAACAACACTGGTCTCTTTTCTGTGCACACAGTGTGAATGTGAATAGCATCACAGAGCTCCACTCCAGCCTGCTGTTTCAGTTTTGATGTGGACACAAACAAGCCAAGTTGTTCCCTTCTATGCTCGCTGTTTAAATACCTTTAAAGAGTATTGTTTGCTTTTTTTGGGGGGGATGAGAGTGTGTTTTGGTTTGTTTAAGTAGATTAAGTCCAAGCTGGGGCAGGTTAGCTTTAAAAAGTCATGGCTTCAAAAAGAACAAAGCAAAAACACAGCTATTGGCTTTTATAGCTTAAACTTCTTTTAATGAGATTCCAGAGAAAATGGATGGCTTGGAAAATGAATGTCTCTGGAATATGGAGCACAGAGGGATGTGTTGCTGCACGCTGCCAGTCAGCTGGCTGAAATATAACAACTACATTTTCTTTTTTTGCTGTTTTGAAACATTTCTGACTGCTTATATCATATTAGCGATCACTCTTTGGTTGATTTATTTGATTTAATTACTGTGTCTTCATCTGTTTGTGATTTTTAATTCCAAACATCTTTTCAAAAAGCTGAAATTTTCCATCCTGTTGCTCCTAGAATTTAAAGAAATTTTCTCAGGATGACAGAGACAGTGCAGGAGAGAGTGGACGGTGTTTCTTACTGATTGTAAGGCGATTAACATTGTTGCTGAGCTTCAGATCACCTAAAGCACGGCCGGTTAGTTAGCCAGGTGCAAACCTGTTTATCTGCATGCATATGAGCAGACAGGCAAACAAATTAACCAGCTAACATCAACTTGTGTTACTCTGGTAAGAACAGAAAATTGAAAATGTTACATATTGTGTGCAATAATATAAAAAACTAACCTTGTGTCAGTAAAAGAATTCATATAGAAGATAGTTGGTAGTGGCTGTGACCTGTTAGCAGGCAGGTATGGCACATTCAAACATTACATCCCTTGATTTTGGGGAATTTCAATCCAATCAATGGTACAATCTTATCAAGGTAAAGATTTTCTAATTGTAATAATAAGCAGATAAAAACTTACTAGGTTTCGCAGGTGGATATTGGATGGATATTTAATGCTTTGCATCGAACTCAAGAGACCCTAACATCATTTTCCCCATTATATACAGTAACAGGAGTAATACATGTCATTTTAAGTTTAAATTGTCACTTCTTTTGATAAGAGGAAAATAAATGGAAAGTTTTGATCCTAATTATTGTGTAAATATGGTAAAATTGTAGTGCTTTCACTTGTTTAATAACAGCCTACCCGCATGTAAATCCTTTAAAAAAGCCAGTGTTTGAATCACCTACGCTCACTTCCAGATCATTACTGCTAATCTTTTAAAAAAATACTAAAAATATAGTCACTTTTAACCTCTTTATTTCCTGAAGGGCTCTTGTGCCAGATTA